TATATAAATTTGTTTAACCTATGGTTCTTGATAGCTGATTCACAGTGTCCTTGCAAGCTAGAACTTCACCTTGTTTCTTTTCCCCTTGACCCGTCTTCAGCGTTGAAACTTCTGAAAATGAGTCCTTTAATCCCAGAGCCTGCGGTCAAACTCTTGAAGAAGCCCTCTCTTCTTTTCCTCATTCATCGAATGATCAACGTCCAGGCAGATCAAGGAAGCAAAATATCCGTGAGGTATGTATTTAGCCATCCTGCTAATCAAATCCAGCGGTCTTTACGCGGGCCAATTAAACGCATCTTGATGTAATCCCTTTTATAGCTTCGTGAAGAATTTGAAGATGATCCTGAACTTTACGGTATTCGCCGATCCTCTCGATGTCGTAAAGAACCCATGCGCTATGAAACTATTAAGCCTGATCCTGACGAAATCAGAAAATCCAGGCGGCACCACCGAGCAGATAGTTCTGATTATCATTCCGAAGAATCATCAACTGATTCTTCAGGACCTCGATGGAGTCGGATATCGGTAAGCTCTTCATTAGATCATATCCTAATTTCCCTCTGATATTTAACTTTGACTTTTTTGTAGGTTGAGAAACGCTCTGTGAGGACTCGCGGAAATCGTGTAAATTATAAAGAGGCATTTGTTGATGAAAATTTTAGTTCTGACGATGGCTCAACAAGACCACATCAAGCTAAGCGCAGTGCCCAGACTCGGTGCCAGTCTCATTCCGGTGGATATGCCGGGTAAGTGCTAATAATTTCGCTCAATTTGAATTACCGAGGCAAGTTCTTGCTTGCCACTATATGTACTTTATTGTCCCAACCTTTTTTTCAGTCAACAATGGTCCATCCAGAAGCCCAGGGGATCCTTGGTTAGACAGGCCAAGTCAGAAAACAGGTTAGCGTTGCAAAGCAGTTTCATGCGTGCTTTATTCCTCTGCATGCGATCTCATTGGGCTTAGCTGCTTTTCAGTTTCATCAAGTCTTGCTGACGTCATTGTTTTACTTAACCCCTTTTTTCTTGGTGCTTTCAATCATAGTATATTCTGATTTATGCTATTCGTTGTGCATCTGCCTCAACCTACATTTAAATTTGTCCTGCTGAGTAACTAATGCTAATGCACATTAATGCCCTCGTCTTCATTCATTTTGATCTTTATCCCTTGCTTAATCTTTTCATTTTCAACAGATCTTTAGATCAAAACGTGGCTGCGTTTAAAGCCTCTCGAGATCGAGATGAGGAAGATGAAGATGAAGAGTATATGCGCACTGAGTCTGGCAGTTTAAACCGTGATTCGGCTGAGGCTGAAGACCCTGATCAGATACCTGACGAAGCTCTTCCTGATGCATTCGAAGAAGCTGACATGATCGAAGAGGTCCTCTCACATGCGATTCGCCGGCGAGGTGCCACTGGAAATCCAACTACCATGTATAATGTGCGTTTGGAAAAAGACTTGAATGCAGGATTTGATGGATCTAAAGAGGAGGGAGAGTTGCAGTTTCTGATTAAATGGCGAAACTGGAGTCATATTCATTCAACCTGGGAGACTGAGGCTTCTCTTAAAAATCCATCCCGTGTTGGTGGCCCTGTTAATGGTCTTAAGAAGCTTTATGATTACAAAGCGAGGCTTCGCGAGAGGAAAGAGTTTGAGAAGCTTGCTGAAATGGATGAATTAGAAGCACTTGCTTACGAAGAAGAACGCAATGAGCAAATATTGTCTGAAAAGATGACAGTCGAGCGGATAATTGCCCATAGCAGAGACCGTGAGACAGGAACATTTGATTACTTGATTAAATGGTGCCGTCTCGATTATAGGTTTTGCAC